GAAACAAAGAGCAAGATGCGATCATAGGAAAAAAACAGGTGAAAATCGGAGGAATAGAATTCCGATTACGCCCATATGAGAAAATAATATTGCAGCCGCAAAGCGAAACAATAATTAGAGCCGTGGCTGACCGAAATCAAATAGGCGTAATACGTTCCGAATAAACGGAACCGGGAGTGTTTATAGGATGCTGTTTAGTGCGGCCAAAAGAGAATGAATGCCCCGTGAGTGTAATCAACACCACGGAAGAGCAAGTCGTAATAACGACACCGCTTGTCACTATCGAAGAAGTAGGAGCAAGCGACACCGTATACACGTTCGCTCGAGAAGCAGCTGACGCGGAGGAAGATCTACCTTCGCGGGCGGCGAGAGGCGAACGACTCCGTAAGCAATTGCGAACAGAGCATTTAAACAAAGAGGAGAAGAAAACGCTTGAACAAATTTGCGACGACTTTTGTGACATTTTCCATTTAGAAAATGACAAACTAACGCACACTACGGCGGTGGCACACGAAATACCCACTCGCGTAGACAGTGCGCCGGTTAATATGCGACCATATCGCTTGCCGGAGAAGCATAAAGAAGAAGTGAATCGCCAAATAAAAAAAATGCTGACCGACGAAATCATTCGTCCCAGTACAAGTCAATGGAACGCGCCGCTACTAGTCGTCCCAAAGAAAGTCGACGCCTCAGGAAAACAGAAGTTGAGAATTGTCGTAGATTTTAGAAAGCTTAACGACCTAACGATTGGTGATTCTTTTCCTTTGCCTAATATCACAGATATTTTAGATCAGCTGGGAAATGATAAATATTTCTCCACGCTGGATCTGGCATTGGGATATCATCAGATCCTGATGGCGGAAAGAGATAAGTGCAAGACTGCATTCTCGACATCTTACGATCATTATGAATATAATCGAATGCCGTTTGGACTCAAAAACGCTCCCACAACGTTTCAACGTTTAATGAATTCCGTTTTAACGGGGTTGCAAGGCCTGAAATGCTTAGTTTACTTACACGACATTGTCATCTACGGAGCAAGCTTGAAAGAACACAACGAAAGACTCAGCACTGTACTAACGCGGTTGCGGGAGATTAATTTGAAACTGCAGCCAGACAAATGCGAGTTTCTGAGAAAAGAGGTAATCTTCCTAGGGCATATCGTTACAGAGCAGGGAATATCGCCGGATCTCTCGAAAATCGAAGCGGTTATGAAATTCCCGACACCTCGAAGAATGAAGGATATTCAATCCTTCCTCGGTCTTGCAGGATACTATAGAAAATTCATCGAAGATTTTTCGCGTATTGCGAAACCGCTAACGCAACTGACAAA